ACTTCTATTGTCGTTTTTAACAAGAAACTTGTCTAGTTGTGTGGAAGTAATGCCGCTAGTTGAAATGATGTCAAAACACTATTAAAAAATGTATTTTTCCAAAAGAGTTGAGCTCAAACAAGGGCTATACCTACATAACCTGCAATAGGGGTGGGCGTGAGTTGGGCTCGGTTTTTTTCCAACCCAACATAGTCGGTTTGATAAAAAATCAACACAACCCAATTATTGATTTAAACCCAACCCAACCCAAACCGATCAACTTTGGGTCGGTTTAGGCTTTGGTCCACTTAAAGTTGGATCCTATTTATTTGTTAAATTTGGATAATTTTTTAAAGTTGGAAATTACTTAAAAACCTCCATTTTTATTTATATACATAAACAAGAAATTCTTTCTAAAAATAATGTATAAATAAGTTTAAAATTTATGAAGAATTTTCTTTTTTACAATTTTTTGGAATTCATTCATTTCATCATCATCATGCCTTTAATTTTTACTTTGTCGTCAAATAACATTGTATTTGTACATAGTGTTCGTATAAATCAATCTATGTAAAGAAAATGGATGTCTATAAATTATATGTCATTCTCTTATTTTTAATATTGTGTCTATTTAAATTATTTTTCCATCTTACATATTAATTTTTTAATTCACCGAGTTGGGCTAGGTCTCGGGTTATGAATTAAAACCCAACCCAATCCAATTGAAGTTAAAAAATCGACCCAAACCGATCAATTTGGTTTGGGTTGGTCATGTTGAACGGTTTGGGTTGGATTATGCCCAGCCCTACCTGCAAGCCTACACAATCTTCCCACATAAGCAGTTCCATGTCCAAATGCACAAAAATATCATCCAAATTTGTAGAGAAAACAATAAAGTGACATTCCTATGACATGCTGAAAATTGACCCAACTATTTCTGTAACATCCACATATTTGGGCTTCAGATTCAAGGGATTTCTCAGCATCTTAATTTGTTTGAAATTGCAAAAAGAAACTATCAACTTTGGCTGCAAACCTTATGGCACGTGTGGCATGAAGAATTGAATAGTGTTTAGAGAAGAAAATAAAGCATAAATCTTGTACATTGTAGTGTCCAGAGTAATGCTATTTAGCACCACTCGTGTTAAAACATCAGTCTATATAGCACTAATATAGCATTAAATGACTCACTTAATTGCACCTCTTATTGAGCTTATCACATCATGCCCACTAGATTGGTATTGTAGCACCACTGGTGCGTGATAGCATTATTCTAGTGTCTAAGGCTTCGTTTCAAACATATAAAAGAATAAAATATCGTGATGACCACTGAGCAACAGTAACATTTGGTAAACAAGAACCACAAAAGAGATCTACAGGATAAACTGAAGTCCCATCTCAAGTGAGGCTGCCATGTCAAAATTAGTTGGACTATAAAATATCACAAAAATAGAATAGAAAATCTATCAATGTGCGCACACGTGCAGCTTTCCTGAAGGTAGAATTAGAAATTATGGCATACAGAGGCTATACTTTTCAAGATGAATAAGAACAGTAAAGCTCTAAGTATGCTCCTTCATTAGCTTAACTCTTCAGGAAATTAAAAGGTGTCACGCCTTTTCTCCTCCTTGACCCGAAAGAAATTTGAAAAAAACAACAGAAAAGGTGTCCCCAGCAACCAAGATAATCGAAAGAAAAGCCTAATTCAATTTTCGTATCTTGTCACATATGTGAAAACTTCTTAAACTCAAAAATCAGCACACGAATGTATAGCCAACCAATCTACTTCATATCACTACTAAGGTTATATTACGTAACACAGTAAAAAGGTATCGTTACTAAGGTTATATTACGTAACACAGTAAAAAGGAAATCGAGTAGTAATACTTTTTATTCTCAATGAAAAATGAAAGACAAATAACCATTAGTATATTGCGCAAGGATAAAACAAGGAAGAATTAGAGAAAATAAAGCATTGAAGGAGACAGAGACCCGAATTCACTTCCCCAGCCTCCAAAAATAGAAGGTATAGAAAACAAACAAAAAAAGAAAAGATTAAAGAAATTACAAAAGATAAAAGGAAACTTTCAAAGCATGCTTGTAAGCTTGTGTACTCAGTTAAAATTTCACGAGATTACTACAAAATTGAACACTAGATTTCTTGTGGATCCTAAATCGAAGTTGCAAAGCACAGCATAAATGTGGTTACTGACATTTCTGTCGAACAATTATCTTTCTTCGAACTACAAATTTTGGAAACAGCCACAATAATGCTGAGTACACCAATAAACCGAGTGGAAAGGGGAAAGGTGAAATAGACTCAAGTTTCCAAACAGCAGTGGCTAACAGTTGAATGCTAACTTATTTAATTGCTCTTGGGGGTGAAATATGGCAGCAATAGCCATCAATGGAATAAGGATGATGATCGGGTTGCAGCAAGTTCCTCTTCCAATCAACGTGGATTGCTAGAGTATTAAGTAAAACTAAGCTAGAACTTGAAAACTAACTATAAACAGTTCCTAACTTCAAACTCATTAATCTTTCTAAGATATGCCATTCCTGGCTTGATCGAAGTGAACTTATGAAAGGGCACGCATTGCTGAAGTTGGATCACAGTAACAAATCCCAATTGTGAGTTAATGTATGGACAACTGGATCTCAAGTACAGATTTAGGTTCGACCTCGAAGAAATTAGAAGGAATTTTTTATATCCTCTCCAGAAATGAGTTCCCATAATAGTCAATTTTGAAAGACCTTATTGTCAAAGCAGCATGGTAACCCACACATGCTTTTATAGTTATACATTTGACCATAAAAGATCAGTCATGATTCACTTCGTTTACATCAGAAGTTGGAATAATTTTTTGAAATATATCGATGTCCCTCACCCTATATATTTTTCCTCATTTATATTACTTATGAAGAACATCCATACCACCCATTTCCTTCCACGCGTAAATTATTTATCAAAATTGATTTATCCAGATTGTTCATGTCATATGGCATTATGTCCACTCTCCACATATATAACTGATTTGCTTGCATATATATAGATGCAGAATAGCATAGCATTTTCGTTGGTATAGCATAGCATTTTAGTTGGTAATTCAGGGTACTCACTAACAAAATTTAGGAAAACTTCTACTTTTTGGTAAACCATATGTTTTCTTCATATTCTTTAGCAACAAATAAAAGTTCCAAATGGTTTGTGGTTGATTATCATAATAATGTATCTATTCTTTTTTGTTTTCCATGTTTAGTTTCTCCTCCTAGTATAGAAACCTTATCGATGTCAACCAATATTCAATTCATATTCCAATTAGAAACTCTTTCAATATTCTATAGGTGCAGATTGAAATAACTTTTTCTTTGTTGCAGTAGTTACTGGAGTAATAATAATTCTATAAGTTTCAGTCAAAAGTATATGCAAATACCAAAGCGTGCATGAAAATCGAAACAAGCAGCAAACAGAGGAAGAGTTTAGACGAACCGGGTTCCCAGTTTTTGAGGAACCTGTTTAGTATGGATGCGATGTGCCTGATTTAAACAAGTACAACAAAGAATAACCCTAGATGTTTCTTACCCATCTTTTAGAAGGTGATAGCTTGGGTGCAAGGAGACACTATAATATCCCTGAGGAGATGTCCACGAGTAAATTATTTACTTGTACTTGCACCACATGAAAATTTGAATAGATCTACCTTAAATAACATTTGAGCTATAAAATAAGGTTCATGACCAACAGCTCACCAAAAGCAGAGAATAAAATGCACAAGCTAAGATCAACATCTCACTAAAAAAATAATGGAAGCTACAATTTCTTTGGGAAAAAATCACACTATAGCTGAATGGAGAAATCTGAAATAACCATTTGCTTACCTCGAAAAAATGGGTCCAGTTCCTAAATGGATTCTCAACACATTCACAAGCCGAGTACAGTTCAAGTTTTGACTAACCTAATCAAGTGCTATTTTTCTGAACAGAGTATGACAATTCCCTTCCACCAAGTCAATCAATGAACTACTAATATACATCTAAGTCAGCTCCTGTTGGTTTTCCATGGATTGTCTCAGTATAAACTCAATCCTCCTCTTCTTGTCATCCTTCTCATCCTCACGTCCAAACCAGGGTGCCGTTTTACGAAAAGTATTGTTCCGGATCCTCAAATCCAATGATTCACCAAAGACTTTTTTACCACCCTTGAACTCCAAACAAACAGCAGGCCTCTTGCCAGGAAAACTCTTCATTCGATAATTTCCAGAATCAGAAAGCCCGTCCTTCATTGCCTCAATTGCAGGAGCAAATGTATCCAGCAAAGAAACATGTTTTTCGGTTTGTGCCTCACCAGAGATCTTAGCAGGTGGAACGACAGGCCTCTTGCCCAAAAAACTCTTCTCTCCATCATTTCCAGAATCAGAAAGCCCGTCCTTCATTGCCTCAATCGCAGGAGCAAATGTCTCCAGCAAAGAAACATGATTTTCCATCTGTGCTTCACCAGAGAAATTACCAGGCAGAACAACAGGAGAATCATCCCGCTCTCCATCTTCTAGAGGATTAGCCAAAATTTGGTTCTTAATATCATTAACTTCCAAACTGTTCCTACCATCATCTGGTTCAGCAGATGTAGACGCCACGGACAGCCCATTACAGACAAGCTTCTTCTGCAAGCTCAACAAAGCCCTCTCTGCCTTTCTATGCTGCCTGGCTAGCTCAATCTTGTCTGTGCGAGGGTCGGAAACCCTTTCATTCCACATGGCTGAGTGTATATAAGTGTGAGGATCGGGAAATGCAGGCAACCACTTTGGAATATGTTTAAAACCAGGTGTCTCACCCATTTGCAAGAAACTTGGTATCAGTCTCCATTCTCTGACCACCGGAAAATGTGGAACTGGCTGTGCAAAGGGTGTCTCCTCAGCCGACTCCACATAACTTCGAATCTCTGTTACGACACCCGAACTAATTGCACAATTAAAACCAACCTCTGAAGCACCTGAAATCCTTGTCGACATGCCCAAATCCTCTAACCCTTGAATTATATCAAACACGTTACATTCGGTCCTACCAGCTAAATTTGAATAAAATTTGGCTGTTTTCCCTAGATCAAGGAGATACCGGATGGCCAAGTCAGCAAGGGAATCAAGCGCCGACTCATTAATGCTCTCAAACCCAACATTCTCGCATATCTGCGCCACTGCAATTTTCGATATTGCTCGGCCAAAATTATCCTCACCAGCTCGAGTAATTGTACTCTCTTTCCCTATCTTACTCTCCGCTTTACCTCCATCGCTCATATTCAGATTCTAGAACCATTTAGGGTTTTTACCTCGAAAAACCCTACTAGAACTCAGCAGTAAAATTCAAGCCTTGCGCCGAAAATTCACAGCACTTATTCAAATAATATTGAAACCCTAGCTGGAGGGGCTATTAACAATAAAAAAAAAAAATTGTTGCTGCAGTAAGAGTAAACTAAGAGGTTACTTACATTTTTTGGGGGAACTTCAAATTGGGTAGCAAAATTGAAACTCTTGATGGATTTAAAATGTGAAATTCTGGATTGAGATCTGATAACCCTAGAAAGGAGATGGACTTCAGCTCGAGGGTTCTTTTGAAAAAAAATTTGAGGTGAAAACTAACAAGGGTTTAAGGATTTACTGTTACAGTGACAAAATCCTAGCGAGAAGCTGAAAATCGAAAAAAAGATCGAGGGCGATCTAGAGAGAGGAAGGGGGGGAAGGAGAGAGGGGCACAAAACATAGAGAGATGGAGGTATTTATATGCCCATGGATTTTGCCTTTATCGAAAGATAATTATGAAAATATTGGAAAAATCGAAAATATTTTGAAAAGGTGACACGCGGTCGGGATGGATTGGGAGCGAGATATTTTGTGGTGATAACCCGAAATAAGACAATGAGACATTGGTCATTACCTTCAAAAAATGGTTCTTTTAACAGTAAAATTTCAGAAACCTCGAGGAGTTTATGATAATCATAGAGACAATGAGATCCCGTTTGGTAGTCATTTTTTTTTAAATATATTTTTCTCTCTCTTCTTTTTAACCATACATCCTTTATTAAAATAATATTACACGTAAATCAAAAACTTTTTCTTATTTCTCAATCATACATTTCATATCAATTTACTATTTTAAAATGCATTTTTACATAAAAATGCCTATCAAACACCTCCTCAATCAATTTTCAAAAGCCTCAACTGCCTCGCATTTTTTATAATTTTTTCATGGTCCATCTCATATCTATATGCAGTGTAATGATTTAATAAGTATTGATACTCATCTTATTTAGCTCTTGTTTGATTTCATTATTTTCAAAATATATTTTTTCTCTTCTTTTCTATATGTTCTTCTAAATTTAAAATTTTTTCGTATTTTTTAACCACATATTTTTCATTAATATACTGTTCCAAAATACATTCTTAAGCAAAAATGGGGCTCAACTGGGCTTTTAATCTTTTTTAACACCAAAGTTAGTTAATCTTAATCATATTTTGTGAATATTAGTATTTATTTAATGGACAATCTAAAATTGCTCTAGGGATAGCAATTGAACTCGTCGGCTCGTGTTGCCCATAGCTAGGCTTGAAAAAAACTTGAGTCGGTTCGTGTGGCTCGTTGGCACGGGCTCACGTGTCTTTAAATTAAAAAAAAAAAAGTCGGTTAAAGGGCAGCGCGTGCTGCCTAAAATTGGCAGCACGAAGAAAGAGAGGGGAAAAAGGCAGGCTCTACCTAGGAAGGCTTGAGCCCAAAGCTCGGGCCAAGCTTAAATTTCTTGATCGGGCAAAGCTTAGGTCAGTTGGAACTTGCAAAAAAGTTCGGACCATTTTACTTTAGTCTAGCCCAAGCCTTGAATTTCGACTTGCGAGCCAGTTCGATTCAACTCATTGACACCACTAAATTGATCAATATCTAACTTCCAATAAAAAGGGGAATGAGTATCTACTATTCATGCAACAGTAAATTAATCTGATTTTACTATGCATGATGTCATTTTTTATTTTGTTTATATCAAACAAATGTTATTCCAAATATCATGCCACTAGCATTAAAAAAAAAAAATAATTTTAGTAAATATAAACTGTCATGAGCAAAAAATAATAGTAATAAATAACTCTTCGCACACGAGTTTTAAAAAAATTAAAAATAAACTCTCTCCACAGTGTGGAAAGATGACAAACCATATGCGGAGTAAAAAAGAAAGAAAAAAATTTCCACATAGTGCGGAGAGATGACAAACCATGTGCGAAGAGTTAGCAAACTTTCCGTACAGTACGAAGTAAAAAAAAAAAATATATCCGCACGATGCGAAGAGACGGCAAATACCATGGCAAAACTTTCCGCACAGTGCAAAGAAATGACATTCTGTGCCAACACTGTCCTCACAAAGTGCGGGGTACAAAAAGAAAAAAAAGAAAAATAAAAATAAAACCTCACACAGTGCGGAGAGTTGGCAAACTCTCCGTACAGTTCGAAGTTAAAAAAACTATCTGCACAGTGACTGTCACGTGCGTCGCACGAATTTTACTTTTATCGTATTTTTATTAGTATATGAATTTTAGTTTTTTGGTAAGTTTTTGAAGCAATATCTAGAAAAAAAAAGGAAGAAAAAAAATCTCTGTATAGTGCGGAGAGATGGCAAACCATGTGCGAAAAGTTAGCAAATTCTCCGTACAGTGCGAAGTAAAAAAAAAATATCCGCACGATGCGAAGAGATGACAAATACCATGGCAAAACTCTCCGCACAGTGAAAAGAGATGACATTCTGTGCCGACACTGTCCTTACAAAATGCGGAGTAAAAAACGAAAAAAAAATAAAAAAAAAAACCTCGCACAGTGCGGAGAGTTGGCAAACTCTCTGTAAGTGCAAAGTTAAAAAAAACTATCTTCACAATGACTGTCACGTGCGTCGCATGAATTTTACTTTTATCGTATTTTTATAAGTGTTTGAATTTTAATTTTTTGAAAAGTTTTTGAAACAATATTTAGAAATATTTCCATAATATAAGAAAATAATTGCAAATTATTTTTATAATTGCATAACAGTATTATGTAATCTAAAAAAAATATATTTGTATATTTCATACTTGAATAAGAAATATACGAGATTATATAAATTATTTTGCTTGTATTCTTTGATAGTGTTGATATGATTGAGTTGAATATGAAAATTATATTTCTAAATTTGTGTAATTCAATATTGGAAAATTGAAGATTGAGCACCATATTCATATGTATTTATATTTTGTGCTTCATATATATTTAATATTTATTTTATACTTATATTGAAAAAATAAAAATTTGGAAATTTTTTTGAAATTTGGTTTGGAAAGTGAATGTACGGTGTTCTGCATTCTCGATATTTGTAAGTGCAAAAATTGATAGATAAAAATACAGTAAGCTGCAAATACGGTAGGCAGCATATACGGTAAGTTGCAAATACGGTAAGGTGAAAATACGATAAATTGTTTGCAAATACAGTAGGCTGCAAATACAGTAGGCAGCATACACGGTAATGTGCAAATACAGTAGGCAGCATATACGGTAAGCTGTCTGCAAATACAGTAAGCTACATATATGGATTTATAATTTGTTATAAATGTATAAAATTTATTTAATATTGAATTTCTTAAATATTAAATGTTGTAATTCAATATTGTTTCATTTTTTATAATTGTATTTCCAAAAATTAAAAAAAAATGGTTATGAAATTACTATTTTTTAAATGTGTTTTTTTGTCGAAAATTAAAATGATTTTTTATGTTATTTGTAAAAAAAAAAAAATTGTAATTTTATTAGCGTAATGAGAAGATTTATTATGCATTTTTATTTTTTGCATTTTATGAAGAATTTTGTTTATGGTGATGGACAAATATTCTTCCACACACGCATCATGCCAATAAATTTTAAAAAAATAATAATAAATTTAGTATATATTATAAACTCCATGAGACAAAAAAAAACTCCGCACATGAGCAAAATACGGAGAGATGACAAACTATCTTTCTACATAGTGTGAAGAGAAAAACAAAAACTTTCGGGACTTTATTTGCAAATTCCAAGAGACATTTTCTCAAACAACTTTTGAGTAATGCATTGAACACTTTAATTCCTAGCCTACAACTCGAAAGTATAATTTCAATGAAAATTGTATCCGCTTCTAATGTCCATAAGCTGCTACCAAGCAAGTGTAAAATATTGAATTTGGATGATACCCTAGAGCCTCTATTTGTGAAAGCAATGTCATGGTACTATCAATATCCCCTTTTGGCACAACTCACATATTGTTTCATCGTATGAATCACGAAAAAGCTCATTTCCAATACCCTAAATAAGATTTGCATGCTTAGAAATTGAGCTGTGACTGAAATTTAAAGAATACATAATTGATTTTGAGCAATGTTTTTCAACTCTATTTCGTTGTATATACGAAAAATTTACAATTTTAAAATTTGACTTGTAAATAAGGAATTTGAAAACAACTCTCTGCACTGTGCGAAGAGTTTTTTTTTCTCTATACTGTGCGGAGAGTTGGTTTGTCATCTCTTCGCACTATACAAAGAGTTTTTTTTTACTCTGTACTGTGTGAAGAATTTTTCAACTCTCCGCACATGGTTCAACTCTCTCCGCACTGTGCGGAGATTTTTTTTCTCTCTACACATGGTTCAACTCTCTACGCACTTTGCGGAGAGTTTTTACTCTCCGCATTGTGCCAAGAGTTGGTTTGTCAGTGCGAAGAGATTTTTTTTTATTTTGCACATGGTTCAACTCTTTTTGCACTGTGCGGAGATGTTTTTTTCCTCTCCGCACATTTTTTTATTTTTATTCCGCACTTGGTTCAACTCTTTCCGCACTGTGTTGAGAGCTTTTTTTTATTTTACAATATTGAATTATACAAAATTTAGAAATATAATCTTCACATTTAATTCAATTATATCAACACTATCAAAGAATACAAGCAAAATAGTTTGTATATTTTTTATTCAAACATGAAATATATAAGCATATTTTTTCTAGATAACATATTGGTATGCAATTGTAAAAATAATTTGTAATTATTTTCTTATATCATGGAAATATTTCTAGATATTGTTTAAAAAACTTTCCAAAAAATTAAAATTCATACAATAATAAAAATACGATAAATGTAAAATTTGTACAACGCACGTGATAGCGACTAGTTTAATAAAAAGATACTAGACAGGATAAGATTTAAACTTTGATGCCAATTTATTATTGTTATTTTTATTGACATTTTTTTAACATTAATGACTGAGTGATGCCATTCCTACATTATCGTGTACTATAGATGCATCGCATGTAAGATAGAGAAAAATTATAATAAGTTAATAACTAAATTTCTTCTCTCTCTTTGTCTCTCATGTAATATGTGATTTATCTACACATCGACATACAAAAAACATTACTCTTGGCGATGACGTTACTTTTACAAAACTTGTGTAAATTTAAAGAGTAAAAAAAATACAGAAATTAGAGAAAATGTGAATCAATAAATATAACATATTTGGCTAATGCAAATTTTTAGTAAATTTTGATTAAGGTTGATAAATTTTGGTTTAAAAATTGTCGAACTCATAAAATATGTAGTTAAAAGTAATTGATAACTTTGACTTAATTTCTACCAAACAGTAATTTAGTGAATTTTTAACTAGCTTTATTAAATTATTTGGGAAAAATCATTTTAATAATTATATATCAATATTGTTTATATCATTATAAAACATTTATTTATGTTGATTTATTAATTATTTGTCAATCGTATCTCGAAAAAAAGTTTTAGACAATAAATTTTATGTATTTTATAATAAGATCTACAATTGCATTTTTAACTAAAATGGTTACATCTAAATGAAAAGTTACCTCTTAAGAAATAAGAAAAGAAATCACATAATTTTAAAATAGAATATAAGGGAAAATGAAAAAAAAAAAAGTGTTTGGTGGAGATCAAAATCAAATTTAAAATTTTAATAAAAATTGATGAAGTATTTGGTTAAAAAGTTGTGGATTTCATAAAATGTATTATTAAGATTAGTTATTGATAGGGGTGGCAATCGGGCTCAGGCCGCCTGTAACTCGGCTAGGAAAAAGTCTGAGCCGATCAAAAAAAAAAAAAAAAAGAGTTTTCAAGGCAACATATTGGTTGCTGCCTTAAAAATAAGGTAGCACGGGTTGCTACCTATCTTTTTTTAGGCAGCCCTTTATTTATACAAAAAAATAAAAATAAATTCGAGCCTGTTCGGCCCAGCTTGGCTCGAATTGAGCTCGCAAAAAATCTAAATTAAAGTTAAAAATTAATTTCAATAACATATATCATAAGGTCTAAACCTTTTTAACTACAAATTTCATAATTTTTTTTTATCAAAATATACTAAAAATTTAAATTTAATCTTCACCAAACAAGGGCTGAATTTATCTTTGTATTAGCCATATTTTCGGATTCATTAAAATCAAAATTTGAAGAAAAATGTATTTTAAAATAGTGATGTTTTGAAGAAAATGTGCGGTAAATAAAAATATTTTTTTTAATTTACATGTAATATTATTTAATTGAATAATGTGTGATTGAAAAAAGAAAGGAAAAAATGCATTTTAAATAAAATAGTGCCCAAACAAGGGCTTAATAAATCAAAATATTGTATTTATTAATAACTCAAAAATGCATTACACTTAATACCATAATTAAAAAATTATATTTAACGTATAAAAAAGTTTCATATATAATAAAAATTATAATTATTTCGTCATTAAATTCTTGAAATTAGTATATTCGTTCTAAAAATAATCAATTAATGCATTTCAGATTATTAAATTATTATTTTAGTTTAATGTTGTATTTTATTTTTTAAATTGTTATTTTTCAATATACATTTTGGTCTAGTGCCAATTTCTTCTTAATTTTAATTATCAAATTTGTAAATTTTGAGTTTTAATTAGTAATTTTATTGTTATTATTTGTTACTTGATTAAAATTTACAAATAAATGTTAACTACAAAAAAAAAATCTAAAATAAATATATAAGTAGAGTTAAATCATTAAGCTCTTGTTTTTATCCATTATTTTGAAAATACATTTTTTCTTTTTTATTTCAACCACTCATTCTTCAATAATTACACACAAGCCTAAAGTTGTTTTTTATTTTTTAATCACACGTTCTCCATCAATATATTGTTTCAAAATGCATTTTTGGGCAAAAAATGGGGCTCAAATATGCTGTAAACAATAAAATGTCACAATAGGAATTAAAATTTGTTGTAATATTAAGTGAAGCGCAAATTAGTAATAATGAAAAACTTCAAAGATTACACCACAACTAATTGGTGTGGTGTTTTAACCCTTGTTTGATGGTGATTTTTTTTCTCAAAAATAATATTTTGAGTAATAAGTTTTAGGAAAATGTGTTATTAAAAAGTACGGAAAAAATTTAGGTTTACACGTAAAATATTTTATTGTGTGAACGTATGGTTGAAAATAAGTATGTTGAAAAAAAGTTTTCAAACAATGGTGGTCAAACATGGATTAGTGTATCAATGGAGAGGATTTTGGCACCAAATCAATTTTATTGTAGCATTGGAGATATAATCAAATCAATCAAACCAAATCGACCCGTTGATTTGATACAGGTAATTGGTTTGATTTGATTTTCTTTTAAATAAACCAATGGTGGTTTGGTTTGGTCATAATTTAAAGCCTTAAACCGCTGGTTAACTGAACTAACACAATTCACTAACATATTTACCCTTTTTTTAAGAAAAAACAAAAATAAAAAGACAAGTCATAATTTCATAACTATATAACGATTCCCTTCAATCTATGATGTTGCGGTAAATAATAGTACTGAAAATTTTATTTCACAAGCTCATTATGTTATACTTAATCTTTTTTTTAGACTACATAATGTATAAAAATGCAAGAAAATTCTTAATTTTTTAAATCTTTCTTTAATAACCTAATTTTTGTTAGTCAATAATTATTCTAGCAGAAAGTTATTTAGTTATTTTAGTTTTTGTAATCTAAATGAGCCCAAAACTTGGACAATTTTTTAAAAAAAAAATTCAATTTGGACTAAAAAGTTCAAATCGACTAACCAAACTGATTGGTTCGATTTAAGAGTTAGAGTTGGTTGATTTGGGTTGTAATTCATCCAAATCGACTAATTTGATTTTGCTTTCGAGTTGGAGTTGAAACCAATCCAAACCAAACCGCACCTTGGCCATACCGCAGTTTTTATTATTTGCTCTATATTTCAATTTTGCTTAATGTCTTAAATTTTACTCATTATAACACTTATGTCATTGACTTTTTTTACTAATTTTATCTTTAACATTTTATTAATTAGCACATATTCTCTAATAAAGATTTTCGTTCAAGAGATCCATCAGGAGAACGTAAAACCACTTATTTGCATATCGTCTTTTTAACAAAAATAAACACAAAAGTTGGACAAAATATTTTTTCCTCATTTCAAGCCAAGCAAATAAAATATTTTGACAGGAACAATCTTCATGGACGAGATGTGTGAATTAATGAAAGACTGAAAATAAAAGCTCGCCAAAAAAAAAATTTAAAGACAACTGTTAAATGAACAAATATCGAGGACTTTAGATGCAATTAAATGTGGCGTAACAGAATTAAATCTTGGTGGGATTATGATTATTCATAATTTATTTAATAGTAAGACGGATTAAAAAAAATAAAATAATTTAGATGCAATTAAATGTGGCGTAACAGAATTAAATCTTGGTGGGAATATGATTATTCATAATTTATTTAATATAGTAAGACGGATTAAAAAAAATAAAATAATTTAGATGCAATTAAATGTGGCGTAACAGAATTAAATCTTGGTGGGAATATGATTATTCATAATTTATTTAATAGTGAAACGGATCAAAAAAAAAAAAAAAAACATAATTTTACATTGACTCTTTAAAAGTGGTGTGCTCGAACATTAGCTATGATCATAGGATTTTACGAATATTAGCTGTGATCATAGCAATAAAGCAGACTCCAATTTTAAGCGAAAATTCAAAAAAAAAAAATTCTTCTTTTAAGTTTTAACCACACATTCTAAATACTCAATTATCAATATATAAGACTTTAGTTTAGGTACATTTTGCAACCAAAGCTTAGGATTTGTTTGACATTATTTTTGTTTTTTACTTTTAATTTCCATAAACAAGTTTTTGATGTAAGCTATCTTAATTTTTGTTAAAAAATAATTTTTTGAAAAGATTCCTATATTAGTACTTTCAAAAAAAGTTACATTGAACCAAAGCACTTCTAATTGAAAAGAATTCTTTCATAAAATTAATCAATGGATCCAAAATCAAATTTTGAATCTCAAAGTTTTTCTTTTAGCTCTTCAAAAGCTATCTCAACCGGATGTTACAATTATCAATTTTCTTGTCCATAAAATCCCAAAAGAAGAAAATCTTCTAGTTTTCCTCATTAACCGAATGGCTTTTCTTCTACGACGGCCTTTATCGCTCACATCTCGACTCGACACAAGTCCCACCAAAGCATCACTGTCCCATGAATTTACACCAACGAAAAATTCAATACAATTACCCAATTGGGTTCCTAATCTTCAATCGAAGTTTTTGAAATTCTTGCTCTCTGGCTCCCTTGCTCTTGCTCTGTCAGTATCTTTCTTCTATATCCCTTGAAGTTAGGTTAGCAATTGGTAAGGCATTGTTATGAATAGGAAGTTAATCAATGTAGTAGTATACTCTAGAGAAAATTGCGTGTTTATGTATATATTTCTGGTGAATTTGAAATTGTGATTTGTGAAATTACTGCGTGTAAAATAATCCATAGGTAATTTTTAGTCTTTGGATCGAGTTCATAGTAAATGGTTTTTAGAATTTAATAACAATTGACCATTAAATAGACGATATTTTAACCTTAAATTCCGTTGGATTTTCTACATTCTAAAACAAGACGTATATTATATGCTTGTTTGGGATTTTTTATTTTTTATTTAAATTAGGCAGAAGAAGATAAAGAGAATGTATTGAACATTTTAGGAGTTGGACTTGCTGATGGAAAGGTTGGGGTTAACAAGCCAGAATTGCTTCCTGAAGAGTTCACTTCTGTTATTGATTTTGCCGCTTCCTCTCACTGCCAGATGGGCAGGTCTAATATTTGTTGTTTCATTTGGATGTTTTACAGCTTTTTATGTGCTGATTATTTATTTTGTCAAATGTGATTTTCATTATTTTTATTTTACTGACGAACTTACTTTTCTAAAGAATAAGTGTTAACTTTCTAGAAAATAACTTTTAAGCGCAACCAAACATTATTGCATCTCTTGTCAAACTCGAGAACCCTTTTTAAATCCGTGTTTCCTATGCACTCTCAAAATCTAAAGGCAATAATCTGATAAGGTACTACTGGAAAGAACAAGATCAAATTATGAATAAGCAACTCTTGGATTGAAAGAAAGATTGATTACAGAAAAAGAAATGATAACAAAAAGCCTATAGAAGGCTGTAGATGTACTACTACTCTTCTCCCTCACTTTCTAATTGCCGGCCAAATGATTTCTCCTACTCTCTTATTTATAAGCCTCCTGGTAACAACCTTCTGTTTATATAATCAAATCTGTTACTGGTTCCCGCCCACTTGCTCCCTCTGTTGAGGATACTTTGCCCCAATCTAAGGCATAACATATGTAATAGAATTGACTCCATCATTCTAGCCTAATTCTGTGATATTCTTTCCATTATTTCCATTGTAATTTGTATGTAATTACTCTAGATTGATTTGTAAGGCTTCTTGTATATCAATATAAATTGACACACTCACCATCACTAAAAGCTGTGAGGTGAGTTATTCTTCAAACCCTCAACCTTCTAGAATACACGCATATGATGAGGGGTCTATCATAATCATTAACCTTTACAGGTTGCTAAATCTCTTGTTTGCAATGCGCAAGTTTTGTATGTATATGAAAGGTATTAATCTAGTCAATGCCAAATGTATTGGGAACGCTATTTGTTATTTATGTGGTATCTCGTTCCACTTAAATGTAGTTGAAAGTTATTATCCAGTACAATCATTACTATAATGTTCCTTGCGCCTAATGGTGTGTAAGCAATTTATAATTGCTAACATACGGTTACGAATACGAATTGTGCATAATGGAAAAACCGAGAAGTAAAAGAAGAAATGTAGTTTAATTCGAGTAAACATATACCTCCCAATAATTGGTATTTTAAGGAACATAAAAACTGCACAACAAAAACAATATGTTTGTAAAATTATTCATCCATCCTTAATTCATTCAATGTGTATGATATAAAGACAAAAATAAAAAATTAACCATGTCTTCTAAAATTAGAAACACTAGTTAGCTCCGTATCTCTCACTACATCCTAGATAGCTAAAATTAAATCACTAATAACAACCCATAAGACAACCTTAGACTAATTCAAAAAATAAGCAAAACATAAAAATACAGTAAAATAGGCTTTAACATTCCTTCCCCCTTAAAGACAACCTAGTCATCGAGGATGAACTTTTAGAACAATTCTACACCCCTATTTTTTCCTTTTTCTTTTTTTCCCTTCCTAATGTTGGAGGAAATACCGAGAAATGGCTCAGTGACTGTAGCATATTTGAATATTGGCATTTGACACATTAAATGAATAAAAAAAAAAAAGTTAAAACAAAACTTTGCACACAAAAAGTTGATAGTTTTGGAATCCTCTCTAACCGACGGACTCAAAAAACTGACGGCACATGTACAAGAAAAACAGTCCGACGCCATAGTGATTCTGTCGACGAGTAGAAACCACCTATCTACCATCGCCATCGACACTATTTTGGTTAGTTTTTGTGAGGAATTTCTAGTTTTTCGATGTTTGCGATGAATTGAATTATTTTTTACATTTATGCAGTTTAATTAGATGAAAATATGCCTGAGTAGATAGACTGTTGGTCATGGTTGAGTGTAAATGTGAATTTGTATAATTTGTGGACCTCTTCTCATCGGAAATGGTGTTTCCCGGCCAAAAGAGGAGACGAAGACTGTTAACAATCCCGAGTGTTAACAGTCTAACCCGACTGTTAACTATTTTTTTTTTGAATTGAATTATTTTTTACATTTATGCAGTTTAATTAGATGAAAATATGCCTGAGTAGATAGACTGTTGGTCATGGTTGAGTGTAAATGTGAATTTGTATAATTTGTGGACCTCTTCTCATCGGAAATGGTGTTTCCCGGCCAAAAGAGGAGACGAAGACTGTTAACAATCCCGAGTGTTAACAGTCTAACCCGACTGTTAACTATTTTTTTTTTGTATAAATATATTTTCCAAATATACAAAATTAATTTTCTTTATAATTAATTTATTTTAGTTTGATTAAATAATAATTATGTTATTTATTTAATTAAAATTTTTTTTACGCTGTTTATAATTTAAATTTTTTCAATTTTCTTATATTAATATACAAACCCATAAGAATTTAAAATTGATAATTACCAAAATTAAATGTTCTTTTTAACCAAATTAGCAAAATATTTTTTTCCTTTTCTTTTTTTTTTTTACCAAAATTAAATATTCATTTTATTAAATAACCGAAGTTAAAGAAATCTTCAATTTTTACAAATTTAATTGAATAATATTTATATTCTTTATATAATTATTATAATTTCATTTTCTTTAATTTTTTTTATATATAATCTAATTAAGAATTTGAAATTGATAATTACCAAAATTAAATGTTCCTTTTAACCAAAGTAGCAAAATAATTTTTTACTTTTAATTTTTTTACCAAAATTAACGAAGTCTTCAATTTTGGCAATCTTAATTGAATAATATTTATATTCTTTATCTAATTTTTATAATTTCATTTTCTTTAGATTTTTATAAATATAATCTAATTAAGAATTTTAAATTGATAATTACCAAAATTAAATGTTCTTTTTAACCAAATTAGCAAAATAATTTTTTCCCTTTAATTTTTTTACCGAAGTTAAATATTTGTTTTATTAAATTACCAAAATTAAATAAATCTTCATTTTTTTCAATTTTAATAGAATAATATTTATATATTCTTTATCTAATATTTATAATTTCATTCTGTAAAGTTTATATGTAATTTTAAATGGTATTTATCAAAATTAAATATTCCTTTTAACCAAATTAGCAAAAACAATATATATATATATATATATATAATCTACATGTTAATTAGATGAATCTACATGTTAGCATTTTGGTTCGATTAATGTTTCGATACTATATTTTATTTCATTCTCCATTGTACAGAATTCTAATATACACGCAGAGTTGAGGCAGATGCTGGGCAAAGCTACATAGAACAGTAGCTTCAACAGTTTTACTACAGTACTAGAGCTGCTGGATGATCAGCACGCTGATATCTTACGCCAATCTTTCCTCTGGCCCCTATATCAGTTGAGGGAGGTACAGTACTCGGAACAGATTATCGATGCACTACTATGTCGATTGTTGAGTCCAGTTAACGGTGATGCCCTCCACTTCGACCTTGGGAGCAAGATCGCCAGTTTCTCTATTTTGAGTTTGCCCTGATCAATGGACTGAATATTACAGGTAATGAGATAGCTCGTGACAGTACTTAGAGAGGCAACAGGCTATATGACACTTACTTCCATGGACAGTGGGCAATACTTGTACATCAGCTGATGGAAGTGATGAAGGGGTGACACCAGATGTTAGATAGACTAAAGCTAGGTTTAGTACACATCCTTGAGAGCGTAATGCAATGTCACCACAAGAAAACTGCGATCGACCTTTTCTATCTGGAGATCGTCGACGACATCGATTGCTTCAATAACTATCCGTGGGGTCGGAGATGTTTCAAGAACACCGTACACCTCTTCATCAAATCGCACTCAAAGCCCAAGGGGCCTATGTGCAAGTACAGTGCCTATGGATTGCCCCTGGCGGTGTAGGTCTGTTTTTACATAATCAGTAGCAAAATATTTATACTATTGAATATATATATATAATAATTGTATGTGTTGCAGATTTTGGTATACGAGATTGTCCTCGCCCTTGGTGCTCGCTTTGCGAAGCGACTGGAGACACGATGCCTTCGAATGCATCACTGGTGAGCATCTCGAGCGGACAGGTGTCCATCTGCGAAACAGTTATCGACTCTTCTTGATGACCTTCATGTGAGTATTATGTACTTTGTAGTTTATATTGTGGGCTAGTTTAAAATCTCATTACGCAATCATTAACTGAGTTGAAAACATAATGTCAGGTTCAGGTCATAACTGAGTTGACGCCATCGATGGAGGACGAAGGTCGAGAGCTGGTGCGGGAGGTGCATGAATTTTATATAATTTATTGATTAACGTTTTTATGAGTTAGCAATTATTAATTAAGTTAATAATTTGTAATGTTATTTGTGTAGAAGCACGGTCTAGTTGATCGACGATCACCTCCGTCGAGGGCATCACCTCCTCCTCCGCCGAGGCCCATCCCCGGTGGATCTCCTGCACACAGTCAGGGTCATGGGATCAATGATCTGTATGCCTGCCTAACTCGATTCATAGTCGATGTGGAGCGACAATTGATGAGGAAGGGTCGACGACTTATCCTACAATGTTACAATGCTACGTGGCCATGTCGTATCCCCCCTCTAGGATGAGGTCGCAACACTCCGAGGTGATATTGCAGGTAGGTGATGGACTGACAGAGAGGGTGACAAAGAGGACGGCGGAGAGGGGGTTACCCACAGTTTTGGACAGATGATGCATTAGAATCATTTCTATTATCGGTGGAGCGAGATTGGGTGGCCCCAATGGAGATGGGACAGGTGGGGGTGGAGGAGAGAGTGGGAGAAGAGAGGGTGACGAAGGTGGTGGGCTTGATGGGAGTAGGAGAGCCAGCCGGGGAGAAGGAGAGGGTGACGGAGGCGGTGAGCTCGATGGGGACTAGAGAGCCGGTCAGGGAGGAAGAGACGGTGATGAAGGCGGTGAGCTCGATGGGAATAGGAGAGCCGATTGGGGAGGAGGAGCTAACGGAGGTGATGATCCCCGATGGTAAGAAGCGTGCTATTGCTATGATGGAGTAGGTGATCGGCAAGAGGCCAAGATTGCTATCACAGTACGTCATTTCTCCCTTCACGGTCGAGACGAAGAGGAGGAGGTTCGTCGATGGGATGTTTCCCAACCTATTTCTGGAGGTGGACCATGCCAAATAGAAAGTGTTCCAGACGGAGTGGAGA